ATTGTAGTCGAGCGTGTTTACGCGCGAGCGCCGACGGTCGGCCGCGACGCGAGCATGCGTACCGAGGCGCGCCTCAAGACGTTGTGTTGAGTCGGAGCGTGCGCCCGCCGCGGGGGGAGCTCGCGTAAACAAAAAAAGGTCCGCAGGTATGCGCAACACTGTGGCCGCGGGAAAGGGAGAAATGATGAGCGTGGTCGCAGGGCGCTCGCCGCTCGTTGTGGCTCGGCGCCCGAATGCGCTCGTTAGGCGCGCTGTCCTCGCGCTCGTTATCGCGCCTTATCGTAATCCTCACTTCACGGGTGACGCGCTTTATGTCGCTACATTTTTATCCAGTATCGATTTTTAGATTACAGTGATAGCGCTGATAGTACTTAAGTTTAGATTTATGTTTTTAGGATATAATTAATTGTTACCTATGTACTTCCATTAAAAAATACTGTTAAACTTTTACTATGTTATTTATCTACTTATCTAAAAAATAATTATACTAATAAATTTCTAAAATAGTGTAGGTAGGTAGGACGTAGGAGTATTATAAAAAAACAAACAACACATCAACAAATATTTAATTCATCATAAACAAGATCTACTTAAACTAATTACTTAAATAGCATTGGACATGATACATGGTTGCTCGTAATCATTTTCATGTTGAAAATTATCGCATTCCAGTTCCCTTGGCCAGGGGTACCCCAGCCTCTGCATGTGGTCGAAGCAGCCTTTCTTAACTCGCAGGCAGAGCCCACGGCAGGGGCCCACGCGGTCCACGCCTGGGATACACATGGGCAGGTAAGCAGCACACATGAACAGTCTTACGTGGTCCGAGCATTTGGATCTGATGATTGGGTTCATATCGTGGAGTTCGAACTCCGCGTCCTTTTGGTCTACAAGTCCAGCGTAGTTGGGTAAAGCTGTGATGTTGTACCCGATGTCACGGCAGATGGACACTTTCATCTTCTCGCACGTAAACTTTGGCTTCGTGGGGACTGCTGCTGTAGACAGCAATACTACCGAAAGGAGTACGATCTTCATGATGTGTTGTCGGCACGTTGGTATTCAATAAACTAAGTGAAACGCACGGATAACTTATTCTTATGAACAGTAAATCAATTGTTTATAAACGAAAGCAGAATTTGTGCACGTTTGTTTCAATAACGGATGGGAAAGGTCGTGGTTTAGTCAGCGTATTTGTTTCACAAGTCACACGTATACACGTGTTAATGAAAAAGCGCAAAACCTGAAATTATTTTTTTCGGAATCGAGAGTAGAATCGATTCCACTAATAAAAAATTAGGGTCAAATTTTATCTAAAAAAATATTTTAATTTTAATCGTTACTTAACTCTATTATCAGAGGTGAATGTTGAGTTAACTACTAACCGTGCATGCCTTGCAATCAGCGTGTGAAAGGTCAATACGCAGTTTCCAGAAATGCGTAAAAAGAGATAACAAGTGCGCGGGGCGAAAAAAAAAATGAGTGAATATCTTCGTAAATAATCCGCGAAAATTAATTTTAATAATTTACATAATTCTTTTGTAATAAAAATAAGTTGGGGTGTCTGAGGTTTTGCGCTTTTTCATTAAGAGCGTTTACGTCTAGCGTGGCATGTCAAGTTTAGGTAATTTCGATGCTAGTTTTATTCACACTAAAATAATTATGACTGTGTGCGTGTTCTCACGCTCTATAGTCAAACCAAAATACTTTGATCCACCATCGTAAAAGTGTGCCAGGCTGTCAAGTGACAGCTCAAGGAAACTATAAAATCTTCAAATCTTCCAACACCGACTCCATAATTATAAATAATGGTATACATTAGTCCTAATCAATAATAAATACGTAAATTCTTTATCAAATAGTAAATTATCAAAGGTTTTTTACTATTTTGAGAATATTTTATACAGCCTTTGTTCAGCAGAAAAAAATTTGAATTTTAATGGTAAGAGATTTTTTTTGCCTCTATGGTGCGACGTAAAATTTGGCTGACGGCCAGGCGTACCCTTCAGCACTCTAGGGCCTAGATCCTCAAGCCTCTACCTTTTGGTTTCCACCTCTCGTGGTGCACGTACACGTACATTTCCCCTTGGGACCTATGATCACCTCGCAACTGGCGTCTATTCTCGGTTGTCGACACTAGCTTTGTCACCACTGAGGATAAATGGCATAAATAATATCGATTGTCACCAGTGGTGACACATATTTTCCCAGTTGTAGCTACAGGCTTTCTCACAACTTATAACAAATTAGAAAAATACATCCCAATTTAGGCATAATTGGGATGTATTTTTGTGGGGACGTACACAAATATTGACACAAATGTCATCGTGCATGAACCTCGTTTTACTCCTTAGTTCGTAAAATCTGTTGTTTGATATTTTATCATGTTGATAGATGGCGTTTCACGGCTTCCCCCGCATGAATATTTACGAACGTCAAAAACAGTAGTTTGTCCAGCGTTGTAGATTTTAACCAATAACGATAGATTGCGCTTTTTAGACACGTCTTATTTATTTATTGAAATTTATTTGTCACATATCGTCATAAATTATAGCCTATAATTATGTTAATCTGGTTTATAAACAATAATACTGTAAAGTTTCAACAAAATCCGTTCAGTAGTTTTTGAGTGAAAGAGTAACAAACATCCAGACATCCAAACGCATTTATAATATTAGTAGGATTGTTATACGTCGCCACTAATGACAATATTTTTTTTCTCATTTATCCTCAGTAGGGACATAGTCAGTGTCCATAGGACTGCGGATACTATGCGGTATCCACGAATTACCTCTGCCTGTGCCTCAGTGATATCATGCGTTGCGCTTTTTTGAACAGTAGGATGCTCCACGACTACACAGCACTGTGCCATACTCGAGCCCCATATAGGACCATATAACGCGCGACGCAAAAGTATAGTCAGCGACTCAGTGCAGCCGGGCCTCCGAGATTAGGCATCAACCGGCTTAGTGCGCCGGCGGTAGCCAAAAGCTTAGGGGTGAGACGATTCAAGTGGCCGTCAAATGACCACTGTCCAACTAACTACAATCCGAGGTACCTACCGCAAAGATTTTCCGACTGTAATATGTTGTGTATGTTCCCCCTACAACTAGGTGGGACCCTGCTGGCAGAGCATTCCTATTAACTATTCTGTAACCACCTATTTATGGCAAATAAATTATTAGTATTATTCCTCTTTATAATATTAGTAGGTATACATACATAACTTGCTGTTCCAAATTTTCGTCATTCGTTTTCGTTTCATCGCTAAAAATAACTTAATTTTATTTTTCATTACGTCTGAAATAGAATTTGTAGTAAAAATAGACTGTAATGAAAAATAACAATAAAATATTTTAATTACCACGTGATCGCAAAATCTACCACCAAGATTTTGCGGATACACTATAAAAGTCCAGCTACCTGTCAAAGATCAACGTACGCGTGACACATGTCAGCAGAGCACCGAGCGACGTGACCTCACTCTGGAACGCCTCGAGGCGGACTGAATTTGAACGATTCGTGCGCGGCGATTTATAGTAGTTTTCAAATACTCATAGAAAAAAAATTACAATGAATTATTTTAAATTTCAAAGTAAATATTTTAGATAAGATATTCTTCTATTATATTAAGCTATTTTTGTGTTGAATAAAGGAAGAATATTGGTGAAAAAATCACTTTGATTTTTGGGTATTTCACGTTCTTTTAATTTGTGATTTCTTATTGTAAAATGCTTAAATCTAAAAATTTTCTCAGATAACTATTTGCCCAAGGATCTATGCTATAGGATATAAATGTTTGTTAAATCGTTTTCACAGTATTTTTTATAAAAATTTCAGCTTGTAAACTGACGCTAAAGTGGAAATTTACAAAACCTGTGTGGACTTATCTTGATAGAATTCTTAAATGCTAAACTAATCGCAATATTTTCTCAATTAACTATTTAGACGACGAAATTGCCTAACTATTTATGCCTATAACATATTTGTAGTATTACTGGTTAATGATTGTAATGAGTTGAAAAAGTACTGTTTTTGCGCCAAACGGCGTAAACGCTCTTAACACGTTGTAAACAAAGTTACGATTTAACGACAAGATGCGAATTAATAAACTTTCAGTTAGAATTTAAGATGGATAATCGCAATCGAGCCATCTATATTTCGGCTATTTTTCACATTGCGAAAACAATAACAAGTCCGTTTTCATAAATTATAATAAAATTGGAAACAAGAGAAAATTAAAATATGTTGACTGTTGTTGTTCAGTAAATTAAGTATAGTCAGCGAATATGTACAGCAACAGACTTCAGAATACATTTTTTGTTGCAAAATAGCCCCTGTTACAACTGTATAAGATGCTACACTCTTTATTTTGATGTGCCAAACTGCCAATCTAAGATTCTGCTCACGCCAAGTGTGCGCGATGACAAGCCTGACAAATTGTGGCCACTCATGCAGAAACATGCCAATCCAGCAATGATTAATTTCAGCTGCAGTCACGTCTAGACAATTGGAGCTGTATTTAAAAGATATACAAATAATATGACAGCATGGCAAAAACTTACGGCGCACTCGGATCTCTGTTAATCTTCATTCGCAGATATAAGCTTTTATTTAACGTTTTTGAAAAAAAATATCTTTCTCAATTTCAATATACAATCACCAGCATATCTCAAACACTTTATCTGCAAAATCGCATCTACAACAAATACATATTTGAATAAATTAAAACAAAGGGGTTAAATAATAATACTAATAAAATTTGGAAATAAATTTATTGTACATAATTTACTACAATATTTTAAGCAGTACTGTATAAATTTTATGAAACATAATGGACTAATAATGGTACAATTTAGTAATAAAAATTGGACCAAACTGTAGATTGATAAAATCGCGCGGTTACAGCAGAATCTATAGATTTCACGTTGTACATAATAAAAAAGTTTTTGATATTTTAAAGCCGATATATTTCTTTGCACAAAAGTTTTATTTTATTTATTTAGAGACTGAGTTTTTAAAATAGTTTGAACATGAAAATCAACCGCGCGATCTATAATAAGCTTGTAACATATACCAACATAAGAGTCGCAATAAAATATTATATTTACACTGCAAAAGGTAGTCTGCCCGCGGAGATTAATGTCCTTAAAGATACAACTAAAATAAACGATAAATACTTTTACAATAACCTTATATAATACAGGGTGATCTCAAACGATACCGGCAATAAAGAAGGAGTCTCAGAAATAAGTCCCACCAGAAAGCACAGTGTAGCATCTCAAATAATCGCCAAAATTAGTAGTAAAAAATTACCTATTCCTAGTGGTCATCCTAATTGACTAATAAACAAAAAATTATTCCATTTATGTATATTATTAAACTTTCGCTTTCAAACATAGAATGGAATTCACACAACTGACGACGATCGTATGACGACCATGAGTTGAACCACTGAGTTTGAGCTTTTTTTTAATTTGTATCTGTAGATTTTTCCATTAAGGATGACAACCGGAAATAGAACAATTTTTTCTCATTTTTGCCGATTTTTGAGTTACTACACTGTACTATCAGACGAGGGGTTATTTTCAATGGGGAGTGAGACTTCTCCTTTGCGTTGTTTATTCCTAACTATATCCAGAGGCTCCGATCAGACGTGTGCAGTTAATTGCATGGGAATGTGTACATTGACGCTTTATTTGAACCTTATTTCCTTGCAATAAAGATTAAAATACATTTAAAAGAGTATACATTCCTAGTCAAATGACTGTACCTATGCCAAGTCTTGGACATGGCATCTCCTCTCTTATAGTTCTTAAGCTTCACATTTTTACACTCCCTACACTAACTAACTCTTTTTTTACAACATTCACATATTTTTAACAAATACTCTTTTTGATGGTAAATTTTGGTTATTTTACAATAATAGCAAAGCAAATTACAATTTTAATAAACATAAGGAATGCTATACAAGCAACTTTAGCGTTACTCGCTACTAATAAATAATTGTTTTTCAAACAACATTGAAAATAATGATAACATTGAATATAAATTTCAATGCATGTTACGCATGCGTCTATACTAGGTAAATGCCACAATATATTTTGTCTTCAACCACCTGAATTTGCTGGGTTTTTGTAAAAAGGTCTTAATGAGTACGCCTACAGACTCGCAATAAAGAATAGTAGCATAGACACCTAATTTTATACTCATTATTTATGTATTAAATAAATAAAATAATATAAGCCCAAATGATTTTTGGACTCGAAAAGAATACAAATAATAATGTTAGCACAACCATTCATACTAATACGATTTAAAGAACACGAAAAAGAATAAAGTATCATCGAACTTTGACGGATTTCGATACACAACAATATGGACACTTTTTAGGGCAGTGGGCCTAACTTAATTTTAAGTCTAAAAGTAATTACACTTCCCAAATTACCAGACATAAGTTTGAAAGAAAAAAAGAAAAACTGTCAAGTGCAGGAATCAAAAAATGAATTTGTTAAGGTATATTCACACCGCTTATTCGCACTATTGATTAACGTCAATTATGTTAATGATCTCTTTTGTATAAAAGTTCGGCACGAAATAATGAGAATACTTCTTTACTTGAATTCAATTTTCCCTTTTAATCACCAATGCAAAAACATAACCCTCCTTCTAGCGCAATCGGGTAAAAATAAAGGCCCACCGTCCTAAGTAGAAGTAACAATTACAGTACACTAACGAAAAACGTTTCTAGCATAAAAAATAAGCCTTGTTTTATCACTTAAAATAGTTTGAAGTCTTCACAGCATCTGCCTGACTTGTGGAAATGTACTAGCTCGGTCTCTTCAAAATGTTTACTCTTCAGTAGATCATTAGAAATGGCACCGATGGAACTTAAAGAAGTAAATAATTTTTGAATATGATCCGATTTAAATTAAATTATTTTTTAAGCATAATAGTTTTCAACTACACTTAATTGATTATTTAAATCGTTAAAAACATTTCATAATATAATTTTTCGAAGTTTTAACTTGAAGAACGCACTCAAGAAAATAAAACAAAATGATTATAGATCAATCTCGTTTTGAACGTTTCTCACAACTCAAACCTCTGATATTTTTTAAAAATTCAATCCACTCATGCCATCTCCATGAAAACTACTTGCACACATCAATAAAAATAAAGTAAAAATAAAATTGTGACAAAGTAGTCTAATCATAAGTTACGAAATACTGTGATAAGCAGCAATGATGACGTTTAAAATGTTTATAGCCTCTTAACATTAAAGTATTCGTAAATAAATACAGGGTGTAAAGGACAGGTTTCCAAATTTTTACAGATGTCCTGAAAGCAGATTTCATCTTGAAAATCAACTCCGATGAAAAAATTACAATTCAGATTAATTTTAATCACTTATGTTTTTACTAACCTACCCCTTACACCCTGTATATGACTCATATCAATAATACCTCTGTATTTACTTTTTATAAAACCAGTTAAAATTATACTTTTTAAAAAGATTTTTGGAAAAGATAATTTGAATTTTTAAAAACCGTTTATAAAGTTTTTATTCATAATTTTGTAATATTTTTTCTTTCCAGCAAATGTAATAAAGCCAGACAGTAAATGAGGTCGAGCAGATATAATAGTTTTGGTCGATTTTTAATTTTAAAATTACATGGGAGACGTTAACTGACACGCAGGTCGCAAAAACATTTGTGGCCCGATAGAATTCGAAGCATTAGTCGAAATCGCAATAAATGTAGATAAGACAGGATATACACTTAGGTTACAATGGCTTACGAGTGATAGAACTTCGCGGGATAATATACAAAATCGGGTACAAAATATGAGGATAGATAAAAGTAATTCGCATCGAAATCGCAGATTAGATTTGGCCTGAAAGTACGGTAATAGGGTAATTCATTAAAATTTTCAAATCTAAGGGTCGAGGTAGTTCGATGGGGCGCTACCAATCCCCTGATGCGTTACTGATCAACTGTTGACAACTGTGTCACCTTGATCTATGGACTTGTGTGGATCGGGTTGTTTTGTATCATTTCACAGACTATAAAAGAAAAATTCCACAGATAATTAGTTCCAAAAAAGGTTTGCCAACTTTTTTTTCAGTTCATTGAAATGTAATTTAGGTTATAGAAGGTACGTAATAAGACAAAACTTGGCGGACTTGACCTTCATCACATACGTGTACTTCGCATTAAAAAATAAACGCGAGTGGAAGGGCAATAAAGAAAAATAATCTGTTATGATAGTCATAGAAAGAAAGGAAAATTCTAGTCTATGAAATGAACAGTACATGCACTGCTCCTATAATCACGAGTCCACACACCACTGTGACACAGCGCCAACCTCGTAATTCGAAAGACAGGAAACGGGGGACACATGAACCATTCCTTACGCAGGGCGTTTAAACGCCGCGTTTGATCGCTTCTTTATACACGTGCTTACTAGACGGGCGTGTGTGTTCCCAGGCGCACGCGCAATGCCTCGCGCTCGCGCTGTGCGTCGGCCAGCTCTGCGCATAGAGCGCGGCACACGCGGTGGAGAACCGCGTTCTGTTCCTGAAGCGACTTCACGTCGGGATCCGCCTCGCAGGACGACTCGCGAGATGGCTTGCGGTATACCTTCAACAAAAAACAGTACAACATTACTAAAGTACGGCCAACGAGAAGCGATACCAAATGTAAACAAACCCAATGTCATGGGTGAACCCGTCTGACTTTGACATATTTTGGCGGGAGAACGAGACATACAGTACACAAGATGGGAAGAGACAGAACATATTGTCAACTCGACAGTCGTATCGACCTTTTGTATCGCTGCTAGTTGGCCGCACTTTAATCAATCTTCTTCTTCTTATCGTGTCGACAACAAACCTACACAGTGTCAGCCCAAAACTCCGCCACAAGAATGGCGGTATCAGCAGCATTAATTAATCCTCCTGCGTGCAGTTGCTCGGGCACTCAGGGCACGACATCATGTGCTTCATCGACTGGGGATTCTTGGAGGCTCAAACATAGAGCGTAGGTGCGGTTTTGTTCCGTAGTCGATTACTTGTCAATTGAAACTGTTTATGATCTCTCAAATCCCATATATATTGTATGGCAACTTTAAAAGCAAATTATGACGTCACGTTTTCACGAGACAACTATAGGTACAGGGCTTAACTGACTCTGGGAGCGGCACGGGATAGGTGACTTTGATATATTATGACGTGACAGAACATAAATATCTGAAGATCTAGTCTCGCTGACGCTTGACTGTCATAAGAACACCTTCCCGTGCCGGTCCCATACTATACTATACTATACTATCTATACAGTATTCCAACTCGGCCATATTTTTGAAATAAATGTCAACAGCCGCGCGGTACGTCACCGTATGACAACATGCGATAGGGCTTCGCATGTTGTCATACGGTTCGGTTCAAGTGGAGTTAAAAAAGAAAAACTCTAATTAACAGTTGATTAGTTAAGTGACGCTTAAGCAGTGTTTATAAGTGAGAATATTTAATGACTGATTAAGAAGTTAACGAGTCATTAGTTAATTAGTAGCTTAGACGTTGATTAGTTGATTTTTATAAGTATAGCCTGACCAGGAACATAAAAACCCTCGCCATGTTGCGGAAAACTAGTTAATGGTACTAATTTCTTTTAATGGCAACAGTAACTGAAAACTTCATTTACATGTCACCTTGCATGTCAATAATTAAACGTCTATTGCTGTCAAAGTGTAAACAAATTTTATTTTAAATGTGTGCAATTGATTTTGTGAATTAAATTGCTAAAAAATTTTTATAGTCGTGAAAGAAAAGTGGTTCACAATGTGTTAAAGTATTTGTTGAAGAGAAATACTAAGGGTTCGGACAATATTTTCATTGAATAATGTTTCCGACAAAGGTTGTCAAATTGACTGACATGTTTATCGTATAGTACAGTCCACTATGAAAATTAGCTGTGGTTTGTTTTAACTACCTAATAGGTAGTACCTATTTTTAAGTTTTTTGTCACTTTGTAAGTTTGAATTTTATGGAATTGGGAAAGAAGTACCGAGTTTGAAGCGTTCATGAGCAGACATTGTAGTTGAATATTCAAATTCTGAATTTTATTATTGATGAAAAATAAAATAAATCCTACTAGCTCGATTGATGGTTTCATTTAATTTATTTAAAGCACGTTACCTATAAATAATCTTTTTTCGTTAATTTATGAAAATGTCAAATTAGCCCGTAATCCTGAATCCTGATACATAACGTCAATTGTGGCGTCTCAACTGTTTGTGTCAGATTGAGCTATGGTAACCGTTTTTTGTTTCTTTTTTTTAGTAAATGAAACTTATTTTGCATTTGTAGTAAGTAAGTAGGTACCTACTTATAAGATAAGTCATGTCTAAATCAAAATTCTACTATTATTGATACGATTAAGTGTTTTTTTGTGTGCATGGAACGGTTCGGAACAAACTGCATTGAATCTATATTGCATGTTGTGTCAGCCTATAATTGTTGTTGCATTGTAACTTTGTTCATAATTGTAATTTTTAAGTGTACATGTTGTAATGTAACAATGTTGGTAGACCTAATAAATAAATAAAATAAAATAAGGTTAGCCTATTAATTTAACACAGGTACGACTGTACTCAGTGTTGCACTATCAAATGCAATTGACGCGCCTCTATGCCAGGGTTTTTATGTTCCTGGTCAGGCTATAAGGCTTTTAATGATTTCGAAGACATTAAAATCATATTTTATGGTTCATCTATCATCTTCATCAGGCCATTTAGCCTCCACTGCAGAAGCACGACACTCTCTAATTTACTGGAGGCAAATTGAGGATTTGGCCTACACTCCCCATGTTGGCCACACGGGTTGGGGAGGTTCTTATGGTTAATTGGAAATAAATAGGTAGGACTAAAGCCCGGTCTGCGAGCACGTAGAATTTTGTCCAATGACCCCAAGCTACCTATTATATTGTTGTCGCGACTGTGCGACGGGCGTCCGCAGTGAGTGTGCGAGCGCGACAGCAACATAATTACGCGCGAGCGATAAGGATGGGTAGCTTGGGGTCATTGGACAAAATTCTACGTGCTCGGCGACCAGAATATAGTTATGGTTAATTGGAAATAAATAGTGTTAGGACTAGACATGTGTTATATTTGAGAAGTTGTGCCTTCAAGTTATTGGTTTATGGTGTCAGCTAGCTGATCGGCATATCTTTAGCAGTGGATATTGTTACTCTATATTTAGTATGGTTGTAGTATTTGTAGGCGTACTTGTCCCCGGCTAATTATGGTTAATTGGAAATAAATAGTGTTAGGACTAGACATGTGTTATTTTTGAGAAGTTGTTCCTTGGACTAATTGGTGTATGGTGTGAGTTAGCTAATCGGCATATCTCAACAGTGGTCATTGTTAGGGTAAAGTTATCTTTAGTATGTGGTTAATTGGAAATAAATAGTGTTAGGACTATAGTCCGGTCGCCGAATATAACATAGGATTTCGTCCAATGACCCCAAGCTACCTATCTTTATCGTTCGCACGTAATTATATTGCTGTCGCGACTGTGGAACGGGCGCCCGCAGTGAGTGTACTTGGGGTCATCGGACGTAATTGTACGTGCTCGGCGACCGGACTTTAGACGTGTTATTTTTTAGAAGTTGTGCCTTCGAGTTATTGGTTTATGGTGTCAGCTAGCTGATCGGCATATCTTTAGCAATGGTCATTGTTAGGGTAAAGTTATCTTTAGTATGTGGTTAACTGGAAATAAATAGTGTTAGGACTATAGTCCGGTCGCCGAGCACGTAGAATTTCGTCTAATGACCCCAAGATACCCATCCTTATCGTTCGCGCGTAATTATATTGCTGTCGCGACTGTGCGACGGGCGCCTGCAGTGAGGGTCATTGGACGAAATTCTACGTGCTCGGCGACCGGACTTTAGACGTGTTATTTTTTAGAAGTTGTGCCTTCGAGTTATTGGTTTATGGTGTCAGCTAGCTGATCGGCATATCTCAACAGTGGTCATTGTTAGGGTAAAGTTATCTTTAGTATGAATGCAGTCTGTATGCGTACTTGTCACCGGCTAATTATGGTTAATAAAATTGGAAATAAATAGTGTTAGGACTAGACATGTGTTATTTTTGAGAAGTTATGCGTTGGAGTTATTGGTTTATGTTGTACGCTAGCTGATCGTCATATCTCAACAGTGGTCATTTTTATGGTGCGTCCAGACTGGGCGAACGAGCTCGCGCGGCAAACTCAACATCCTGCTCACTCAAGAGCAGAGTGAGCAGGATGACCAACATGCCGCGCGAGCCCGTTCGCCCAGTGTGGACGCACCATTAGGCTAAAGCTATCTTTAGTATGATGGAGATTGATAGGGTTAAGACGTTTAGTATATGATTGTAGTCTGTATGCGTACTTGTCCCCTTGTACTGCTAGTTACCTCGAAGGCACCGTGCATCTTGGGCGCGTCGTCGCGCGCGTAGCCGAACCCGTCGCCTTCATACTCGCGCGGCGCGAACGCGTCGGGAGGAAAGGCTGGTTCACCCTGTTGAATATAAGATGCGTTTTGTACAAAAATATAAGTTGACTGTCAGTTTTAAAGTGTTGCTAACTTGAAATTATTATTTTGACAGTTCGGGTGTGGTGTTGATGGAGATGATGTCGTTATAGATATGGCAATAAGGGCTATTTTCCACCAATGCAAAGACGAGACGTGTTATAAACTCAGCTTCAGCACTAATGGTTGAGCAGAGTTCCGTTATGCTTTGGGCAAAATAATCTGCATAGCGGCCGCTTTTCTCCGCACATCTCGCCTTGTCTCTGCTTAGGTGGAAAATGGCCCTATGTTATGTCATGCCTGTTCTAGATGAAGCGGCTGCCTGGCACTCTTTCTGAGCTGCTTCGAAAACGGGTCGCGAGGCGAGCTACGTCCAGGTATTGAAGAAAGTGGAACCTTATTACAAGGCAGTAAGGCGCGAGGTGTCCGCGTTCGTCCTCGTTGCGCTAGTTAGAGAGTGAGTAGAGAACGCGAGGTGAATACGCACGGGGGAGATGGAACCCTACCACAACACAGTAAGGCGCTTGCTGCTGCGACACTTCTGCAGAGGTCATTGACCCACTATCTGTCGCTGATCTGTTTGCGCTCGGTATCGATGGAAATGGAACCCTATCACAAGATAGTAAGGCACTGACCCGCTCGCCCTCGCTGCGCTGGTTGGTGAGCGGGCGGCGCGCGAGCGGCGAGGCGTGCGATGGGAGATGGAACCCTATCACAAGGTCTCAAGGCAGTAAGGCACATGATGTTCACGCTAGCTTCTGCAGAGGTCATTGAGCTGCCACTGATCTGTATTCGCGCGTCGTTGCTGCAGATGGAATCCTATCACAAGGCACTAATGCCCGTTTTCACCATCAATTCCTAATTTTTGAGTGAGCCCTATGACAACAAAATTCATATTATGTGTTACCATAGGGGTCACTTAAAAATTAGGGATTGATGGTGAAAACGGGCATAAGTCTCTAGTTACTGTGTGTACTAACCCGCTCGCCCTCGCTGCGCTGGTTGGTGAGCGGGCGGCGCGCGGGCGGCGAGGCGTGCGAGGGAGATGGAACCCTATCCCAATGTCGCAAGGCAGGAAGGCGCGTGGCGTCCGCGCTAGCTTCTGCAGAGGTCATTGAGCTGTCACTGATCTGTGTTCGCGCGTCGTCGCTGAAAATGGAACCCTATCACAAGGCTGTAAGACACTAACCCGCTCGCCCTCGCTGCGCTGGTTGGTGACCGTTGGCACGCGGGCGGCGAGGCGTGCGAGGGGGTAAGCGCGGAGGAGATGGAACCCTATTACAAGACAGTAAGACACTAGCTGTTGCGACACCAGCTGGTGGCGCGCGGACGGCGAGGTGGCGTCACTGGAGTTGGAACCCTATCACAAGGCACTAAGTCTCTAGTTACTAATGCACTGACCCGCTCGCCCTCGCTGCGCTGGTTGGTGAGCGGGCGGCGCGCGGGCGGCGAGGCGTGCGAGGGAGATGGAACCCTATCACAAGGCAGTAAGGCACTGACCCGCTCGCCCTCGCTGCGCTGGGTGGTAAGGCACTAGCTGTTGCGACACTAGCATGTGGCGCGCGGACGGCGAGGTGGCGTTAATGGAATGCAACCCTATCACAACTAAATAAGGCTCTAGTCTCTAGAGTACTGACCCGCTCGCCCTAGCTGCGCTGGTTGGTTAGCCGGCACCGCGGTGTTAATGTAGATAGAACCCTATCACAAGTTTGCAAGGCAGTAAGGCGCGTGCCGTTCACGCTAGCTTCTGCAGAGGTCATTGAGCTGTCACTGATCTGTATTCGCGCGTCGTCGCTGCAGATGGAACCCTATCACAAGGCACTAAGTCTCTAGTTACTAATGTACTGACCCGCTCGTCGCTGCGCTGGTTGGTGAGCGGGCGGCGCGCGGGCGGCGAGGCGTGCGAGGGAGATGGAACCCTAACACAAGGCAGTAAGGCATTGACCCGCTCGCCCTCGCTGCGCTGGTTGGTTAGCGGGCAGCGCGCCCGCCATTAGCGTGCTAGCCAGGGGGACACGCGCGGGGGAGATGGAACCCTATCCCAATGTCGCAAGGCAGGAAGGCGCGTGGCGTCCGCGCTAGCTTCTGCAGAGGTCATTGAGCTGTCACTGATCTGTCTGTGTTCGCACTTCATCGCTGGAAATGGAACCCTATCACAAGGCGGTAAGGCACTGACCCGCTCGCTCTCGCTGCGCTGGTTGGTGAGCGGGCGGCGCGCGGGCGGCGAGGCGTGCAAGGGAGACACACGCGAGGGAGATTGAACTCTATCACAATGTCCCAAGGCGCGTGGCGTTCACGCTAGCTTCTGCAGAGGTCATTGACCCACTACCTGTCGCTGATCTGTTTGCGGCGAGGCGTGCGAGGGGGACACGCGCGGCGGCGGCGCTGGGGAAATGGAACCCTATCACAAGGTCGCAAAGCAGTAAGGCGCGTGGCGTCCGCGCAAGCTTCTGCAGAGGTCATTGACCCACTATCTGTCGCTGTGTGTTTGCGCGTCGTCGCTGGAGATGGAACCTTATTACAAAGCAGTAAGGCTCTAGTTACTAGTGTACTGACCCGCTCGCCCTCGCTGCGCTGGTTGGTGAGCGGGCGGCGCGCGGGCGGCGAGGCGTGCGAGGGGGACACGCGCGGCGGCGGCGCGGGGGGCGCGGTGCTCTTCAGCCGGTTGAGGTCGAGCGAGCTGGAGCGCGTGTGGTTGCGCAGCGGCCGCGGTGGCGGTGGCGGCGGCGGTTCCTTCTTAGGCGCGTATTGGAGAGACGCGGGACCCTGCAAGGTAAATAAACCAGTTAGATAAATAGGGCGCTTTAGGTACGGCTACAAATACAATCACCTAAACTGAAAAAATCATGCCCGTTTTCACCATCAATCCCTTAAGCGTTTGCTAACTAAACATCACTTTGGTTAAACGATCGCCTAAACTGCCCACTAACATAAGTTCGTTTTCACCATGCTATAGTAAACCTAAGTAGGGACTCTTTTGTCAGGTGGCGTTTCTTCGTGCGCCTAGTGACGTTTAAAAAACCGGTAATTTCCGATAAAATATTTTATTGGGAATATCTTACGTATTTCACAGAAACAAATGAAATAAAAGTAAAACAAAGAAATAGTTGACCAAAACTGATGTCTTTTTGTATTTTTGAGTTATTATTAAAGACAAAAAAAGATATTTGGGCTATTATGTAATCTGTGGTTTGGGTGCTTAATGTAATTCCTTTGCCTTAAAAAAAGTAAATGTCAAGATGACTGCTGCACCACATTATAAGAAAATAAAAATGTACAATGATTTTGATAGATATTTTGTTGAGTTCTGTGTGTAGTTTTGTGCGATTTAACGATAAAAACGACAATGGAAAAAAGAAATGAAGCAAAATTTTTCCCTCAAGGAAAAATATAAATTGGTTTACTTGCCCACAAGGATACTGTACGAGCACGTCAGCATCGACCGCGACCTACGTGCTAGCCGACTGGCCCATGAATCCTCAACGTGCACCGTAGGCACTCTACACCGACGGCACATTGGACTGGACACATTGAATTGTGTAAATCTTGTATACCTATAGCAATAGCATAACAGTAATAAACCAGATATCAACCGTCCGCGTTGTGTTTCATTTACCCCCACTGAGGCCAAGAAAGCCTTAGTGCAGCCCTCCTTCCTATCAAATCTTTATTATATCTAATTATAAGGTATTGTTAGGGCTCTAGGGACTACAAACGAAGCCAGAAATATAGCTTGGTTATGAGATAAGTTATGAGTGACCAATACCTACTATCTATACCGTATGTACCTAATCCTGTCTCACTCTATAATATTTTTATGTAGCCGCCTGAATAAACTTGAGTGAAAAAGTGTTTCCACTGTCTCAATTGCATAAAAAGCTTCAAAAAAATCATTTCATTCATGTTTCATTCAGTTTTCATTTTGCCGAATAGGCGTGATTGACAATATAACTGTCACCTAACACTTAGGCGGCCGAAAATCGGGCCCCTGTTTTAAAGTGCTCCCATAAGGCCTAAGATGTCCCCTATGTGTTGGTGAAAACGAAATTCCTGTTAGGTATTACTTAATATTTCATAAAGGTCGCTTTAAAATTAGGGATTGATGGTGAAAACGGGCATCAGTCTCACAGACGTTGGCGAATCACTTTAACCAAAGGTGAAACTTTAACCTTTGGAAACGACGGAACGTGCCTGGATGGGGTCGGCGCCGGACCGGTCGTTCTGGAAACTCTCTCCTTGGGGGAGGCCTTTGTCCAGCAGTGGACGTCATTTGGATTATCTTGTCGACGCTTTTCTAATGAAGAATAAGGCATCTTGGTTACATGTCCTGTGTCGCTATTAATCGCCGCGTCGGGGATGGGGAGGGGATTCGTAGTGACAGGCTCACGCGCGAATGGAGCCGCTTGGGGCTGGCCAGCTCGAAGGCATGGGCGAAGTCGTCTCTCCTCGGTGACGCGCTCGCTCTGACGTCATCATGCGGCCACTTAGAGGGTCTCCAGGTTAGGCACGCTCTAGTACCGACTTACCTCGTCATGCGTAGTCACAGGCTCACGCGCGGGCGGCGGTGGTAACACTCCAGCGGTCTTCACCGGCTTCCTCGGCTGCGGGCGCTGGATAGACTTGATCTCGGCGCCGTTTGGCGGCGGCTGTGAATGAAGCCGATTGGGACTTGCTAGCTCGAAGGAATTAACCAAGTCGTCTCGACGTGGTGAGGCACTAGCTCTGACGTCATCATGCGGTCACTCAGTGGGCGACTGGACTGAAAAATTTTAGAATCACGCTCTATTACCGACTTACCTCATCATGCGTAGTCACAGGCTCACGAGCGGGCGGCGGTGGTAACACTCCAGCTGTCTTCACCGGCTTCCGTGGCTGCGGGCGCTGGATAGACTTGATCTCGGCGCCGTTTGGCGGCGGCTCCGCCGGCGGCTGCGAGTTGAGCCGCTTAGGGCTGGCCAGCTCGAAGGCATGCGCGAAGTCGTCTCTCCTCGATGAGGCACTGGTTCTGACGTCATCATGCGGTCACTTAAATGGTTAGGCACGCTCTAGTACCAACTTACCTCATCATGCGTAGTCACAGGCTCACGAGCGGGCGGCGGTGGTAACACTCCAGCGGTCTTCACCGGTTTCCTCGGCTGCGGGCGCTGAATAGACTTGATCTCAGCGCCGTTTGGCGGCGGCTGTGAATGAAGCCGCTTGGGACAGCTCGAAGAAGTGAGCGAAGTCGTCTCGACGTGGTAAGGTACTAGCTCTGACGTCATCATGTGGTCACTTAGAGGGTCTCCGGGTTGAACATATTAGAGACACGCTCTAGTATCGACTTACCTCATCATGCGTAGTAACAGGCTCACGAGCGGGCGGCGGTGGGAGCACTCCAGCGGTCTTCACCGGTTTCCTCGGCTGCGGGCGCTGGATAGACTTGATCTCGACACCGTTTGGCGGCGGCTGAGTTGAGCCGCTTAGGGCTGGCCAGCTCGAAGGCATGCGCGAAGTCGTCTCTCCTCGATGAGGCACTGGTTCTGACGTCATCATGCGGTCACTTAAAGGGTTAGGCACGCTCTAATATTGACTTACCTCATCATGCGTAGTCACAGGCTCACGCGCGGGCGGCGGCGGCAACACTCCAGCGGTCTTCACCGGCTTCCGTGGCTGCGGGCGCTGGATAGACTTGATCTCGGCGCCGTTTGGCGGCGGCTCCGCCGGCGGCTGCGAGTTGAGCCGCTTAGGGCTGGCCAGCTCAAAGGCATGCGCAAAGTCGTCTCTCCTCGGTGACGCGCTCGCTCTGACGTCATCATGCGGCGCCGCGTCGGGAGTGACGCGTAGAGCAACGGGATGGAAGATCTTCGGGTCGCGCTCCACGGCCGATTTGTGGAAGTCGAAGTTGACCGGCTTCGGGCCAGGGCTCGACACGCTCGATGTGGGCGAATCGACGAATTTTGTCCACTCCTAGAATTAGTATTTATGTCACGTTAATAACGACTAAAGTCTGATTCTTTGTAATTTTGGGGTTGCTAGTCGCGTAGTTGCAGACTAGGAAAGATTTTTGGATTGTAGTAAATAAAAATATTCGTATTTCTTGACAGTGTCTTGACCGAGTAAGCTAAGTTGTGACAGCTAATAAGTTCATATGAACTTATGTCTAGGCAAATTTAATTTTAAACATAGATGTAATAACACACAATGAATAATTATTTATGTACCTTGTTATTTAGCTGTGGCTCCGGCTTCGGCGGAGACAAAGAAGGCGGCCGATCGGGCTCCGGTTTCTTCGCCTCAGGTTCGGTTTTATGAACGAAGCTGAAGTCTGCCGAGGACCCAGAACTGAACATATCAGAGCCCAAATCAACTAAATCCGTAGTGAGCGCGGTTTGAGAGAAACGCGAGTCCACTTGAGGTATCAAACACGCGGGCAACGTGTCAGGCACCGGAATATTGTTCCGCCTCAGTACAATCAGATGCATCGCTATACTGAACTCTTCAAGCGTCAGCATCCCGTCTTTGGTTATGTCGGAGAGTTGCCAGATCTTCCGCAGATCCGGCACTGAGAGTCGAGACTTTTCGAAGAACAACCTTGAATGATAAAAACAATTGTTAGCAAGGCTGGAAAACCAAGAGATTTGGTAACTCGCTAAAAATATTTTAGGAACGTGTGTTGAATGAGGAAGTGTCTATTCTAGACTGTGCCGTACCTTGGTCCACAGGCCCCTTGATCTTGGGGCCCTTTCCTTAGATCGTGATCTTGGTCGGACAAACATGCCTTAAGAGCGTTTACGCGAAGCGCGGCGTTTCAAGGGGAATCATTGGAAATGATTCGCGCGCGGCGTTTTTTAATAGTTTTCAAATGTTTATAGCAAAACAATAACAATGAATTAAATATCGTTTTAAAGTAAATATTTTAAAGAAGATGTTGTTTTATTATATTAAGCTATTTTTATGTTGAATAAAGGAAGAATATTGGTGAAAAAATCACTTTGATTTTTGGGTATTTCACGTTCTTTTAATTTGTGATTTCTTATTGTAAAATGCTTAAATCTAAAATTTTTCTCTGATAACTATTTGCCCAAGGATCTATGCAATAGGATATAAATGTTTGTTAAATCGTTTTCACAGTATTTTTATAAAAATTTCAGCTTGTAAACTCACGCTAAAGTGGAAATTTACAAAACCTGTGTGGACTTATCTTGATAGAATTCTTAAATACTAAACTAATCGCAATATTTTCTCAATTAACTATTTAGACGACGAAATTGCCTAACTATTTATGCCTATAACATATTTGTAGTATTACTGGTTAATGATTGTAACGAGTTGAAAAAGTACTGTTTTTGCGCCAAACGGCGTAAACGCTCTTAACTAGCTAAAAATTCTCCCACCAGGTAAAAGGATCTATGCTATAGGATATAAATGTTTGTTAAATCGTTTTCACAGTATTTTTATAAAAATTTCAGCTTGTAAACTCACGCTAAAGTGGAAATTTACAAAACCTGTGTGGACTTATCTTGATAGAATTCTTAAATACTAAACTAATCGCAATATTTTCTCAATTAACTATTTAGACGACGAAATTGCCTAACTATTTATGCCTATAACATATTTGTAGTATTACTGGTTAATGATTGTAACGAGTTGAAAAAGTACTGTTTTTGCGCCAAACGGCGTAAACGCTCTTAACTAGCTAAAAATTCTCCCACCAGGTAAGTGATTTTGAACAAGGAACTGTTTATTTTGGCATACTTCTGTACCTGGCGGTGGGCCCCGATAGCAGGCCGCGCTCGGTTACAGCGCGGTGTAATGGCCCCCTGCGCCTCGCCGATGGCCCACGCTTCCCCCTACAAGAGTGCGGGCCGGTGTATAACCGCGGTACGTACCTAGCGGTGGGCTCAGACAACAGGCCGCGCTCAGGCAGCAGTTACACGAACTGCGCGGCGTAATGGCCCCCTGCGCCTCGCTGATGGCCCACGCCTCCCTACGAGAGTGCGGGACGGTGTATAACCGCGGCACGTACCTAGCGGTGGGTCCCGACAGCAGGCCACGTTCAGGCCGCAGCTGTGCAAACTGCGCTGCGTAGTGACGCGCCTGCGCTTCGCTGATGGCCCACGCCTCCCACTACGAGAGTGCGGGCCGGTGTATAACCGCGGTACGTACCTAGCCGTGGGCCCAGACAGCAGGCCGCGCTCAGGCCGCAGCTGTGCGAACTGCGCTAAGTAGTGACGCGCCTGCGCTTCGCTGATGGCCCACGCCGCCTCGCCTTACTCCTGTGAGTGTATACAGCCTCGTCACGAACCTAGCGGTGGGCCCCGACAGCAGGCCGCGCTCGGACCACAACTGTGCGGCGTAGTGACGCACCTGCTCTTCGCTGATGGCCCACACTTAATCACCCTCCCACTTCTATAGTGTACACAGCCGTGACATGTACCTAGCGGTGTGCCCCGACAGCAGACCGCGCTCAGGCCGCAGCTGTGCGAACTGCGCAACGTAGTGACGCGCCTGCGCTTCGCTGATGGCCCACGCCGCCTCGCCTTACTCCTGTGAGTGTATACAGCCGTGACACGTACCTAGCGGTGGGCCCCGACAGCAGGCCGCGCTCAGGCCGCAGCTGTGCAAACTGCGCTGCGTAGTGACGCGCCTGCGCTTCGCTGATGGCCCACGCCGCCTCCGCTTCGCCCTCGCCTTCCTCCTCCGAAGAGTGGCGGTCCGAAGACTCCTCCTCCGTCCCTGCGGGAATATAACGCCTAAGTCACAACAGAAGGGTCACTTTGCAAACAAATTTTAGGCGCTATTTGCGGCCGTCCGCAACGGATAATAAAATGTACAAGGCCTATACAACTACACGAAGCATCCTCCGAGACGCCTATTGGTCTTAATGTATAGTTCAATTCTCGAAGGATGATCATGCGAGGCGGACGTGAAGTGTCATGGCTGCAAACGCGCAATGGACGACAGTCCAGTCAGTGATTGACAAATCACGATCCGCGTAAAATTTAATGACGAATTAATACGTTGTAGATGAATTTAGCGGTATGTTAAGAACATTTTTTTCTACGATCTAGCGCTTTGTCAATTGTCCTTTTCATTCCACACAACAGGATCTCAAAAAAAAAAACTCAGATCAGAAAAAAACTCTAACAACTAGTTAGAGTTTTTTGCATATTATCCGCCTCATTCGTAAACACCTCAAATATGAGTTCAAGTAAAAAATTAGCACAAAGCAAAACACACTGAAGGTTAATAAGTGTTAAATGTAACTAGACCAATTACTTATGAGTAAACTAAGTATGCTAATGGAATCTGTCAGCTAGACTAACAAAAAATAGGTTTTCACCATCAATCCCTATTTTTTAAGTGCCTCCTATGGTAACACATAACAGGAATTTTGTTTTCAAAGGGGTCACTTAAAAATAGGGATTGATTGTGAAAACGGGCATTATTCGTTTAATTATTTTAAATCCCTTTTCTTAGCTCTATCAGGGGGAACTATTGACAATATTGACTATTTGACACAAAGTAAATAAATATTGATTGATATTTTTTAGTTTTTAATATTATTAGCTGAATCACCGGTTATCAAAACACACGAAAGAAACAATTTACCTACTTTAGCTATTTTGTTAAGTAGTTACGAACAGATAAAAAGAAGTTTATTTATGTTTTCGGCAACTATGTTTTTCATTGGTAAAGTAATGCACAGAATCAGACTATTCCTTTAAAAATTAGCTTAATTAGTTACTCGTGTGGGTGTGACTTATTGGGAACAAGTGTTTTATCCCATAGTATCATCACCATCCATCGCAGTACATCCAATACCCAATAGACATGTTGTCACCACCAGTCATTAACATACCTACTTTTTAAAACTGACAAAACGAAACTCTCCCATAGATTTTGTATGGCACTACAAGCAAGTGACGTCACTATTTTGTCAACTCAATTAAACTATTATTTTCAATTACAATGCTAACAAAAATCGTAATTTACAGGTAATTTAAAATTAATTAAGTTTTTAAGACCAGAATGAAGGGTCTTTTTTAAAAAGTTGCAGTTTCGAATTATTGGGGTATGGTGTCAAACTATCTATTGTACATCACTTCGAGCACATACCCAGTAGCCTCGTGTGCTCCTCCGCAGTGTTGGTGGGCCACACGCCGCGGCCCGTCGCGCTGTGCTCCCATACAGGGTGCACCCGTTCCGCGACGCTGTTCGTAGGCGTGGGACTTTCGCTCGCCGTACTCCACGGAGAACCGTTCTTGCCTCTCCTCTGAAAGTTATATTGACATTGTTCAATTAAAAATCGTTTTTGTCAGATGGAATTTAAATCTAATTCATTTACTGAGTGGATGTTGCCCTGCTAGAGATCGTTACACCCACTGATGAAATAATAAATCTTTAGATTGGAAATAAACTTGGTTTTATTTTATCAAACAAATAAAACAATAGAAACGCGCACACCGTGACCATAGACCGGAGAGAGTAGAGATGTGCATAGACAACACAAAACGAGTTGCGTTCACACTTCATCATGCTCCCCTGGACGCGAACGTTTTGTAGTTAAGTCCATTGATGCAGTTAAGTCTTCATGCTTCGGTCTGTGAAGTCCTTTCGTCAGAGCATCTGCAACCATGTGTCTTGTGCATAGATATCGAACGGAAATTTGGTTCGCAGAAAATTTTTCTCGCACGAAGTGATAACGCACGTCAATTTGCTTGCTGCGCGCGTGATGCATCGAGTTTCCTGAAAGGTTAATAGCACTCTGGTTATCACAATAGAGAACAGTTGGAATACCTTTGTGACTCGGCCAGAACTTTTCTTCCAGTTGTTTTAGGCAAGGAGTTTCCTGTATTGCAGAAGATAATGACATGTATTTCGCCTCTTGATATGGTAAATTTTTCAAGATGTTCTGTTCATTTTCAGCCTTTGTTAGTTTTATATTCCATGTGTTTGTCTTAATTAAAGATTGATATTCTTTATTCATTGCCTCTTGCCANTTTGCTACAACGCTCTTAACTCGTACATAAACCGTATAACTTTATTTCTCAACATAAACAGTAGTAAATAGTTCGCCCTTGGCACAGCTTCCAAACTTTATGGTAGGAATAAATAAAAGGCCATAGCGATTGCGCCTCCTTGCTGGCACAAAAGAAAATGTTTCAGTGACCATACTCGTTTCCGAAAAAATATAAAAGAGCCTTCTGTGGTATAATACATTCAATAGATTCAATTCAATAGCATAAGATTGCATAATAACCCCTTCTATGTATTATACAAACTCTGTTCGTTTCATGTTTCGAAGTTTGTACTTTTACATAACTGATTTATGTAAACTTTTATTTCTGTAAGTTACATGCGGAATTTCAATACGTTACAAATTACAATAGCTGAAAGGAAACCTTACAAATAGAAAAATACTTTTGTCAGCTACGACGAAGCATGGAAATCCCACACAAAGAATATTGAAACGATTCATTTTAACACAGCATTTGTATATAAACGTAGCAAAACGTGTGTATGTAACGTAAGTTAAGATGCTAGATAGAAGAGCAGAGGTGATAATAGCAATCTAAGGCTGAGTTGCACCACCTAACTCTAACGATAACCGGTGTATTTTGCATGGACTTTGACAGATTTTTAACTTTTGTCAAAGTTAAAGTAAGATGGTGCAACCCAGCTTTAGCTTATATTATTACGGTAGACTGTCCAAAATTCAATCTGAAATGAGAGACAATGGCGTTAGCGGCTGTGTGCCAAATCTAAATATATAAAAGGAGAATTAGAATTAGATTTGGTTTAGGCTGTGCGTTGGTCTGTCAGTCAGTACTGACAGACCAACGCACAGCCTAAACGGCTAAACGTAGGCACTTGAAATTTGGAAAGGACGTAGCTTAGGTACTTTAGAGGTGCGTGCACTAAGAAAGGAATTCCCGAAATTCCCACGGGAACGGGAAATAGCGGGAAAATCCTTTTGTATGAAAAATCTAAACCGCTTAAGTTAGACGCTTGAAATTTAGCATGCAGGTACCTTAGTAAGCTTAAAGCTTAGTTACAACAGGATATTGCAAAATTCCCACGGGAACGGGAATTAGCGGGAAAAAACATTTGTATGGGATCCACGCGGACGAAGTCGCGGGCGGCCGCTAGTAGTGAATAAAATCACTTAAATTGTGATTAGTTTATATTAATAAAATTAACTCAAACATTCTAAACAGGATTCTACTGCATTTAGCTAAATAGGTATTTAGCCGTTGGAAATCGTGTTTCTCCCAAATAGTATTACCGCACGTACATTAACTATGCAACCGTTATCGTAAAATTACAGGATATTTGCGGCAAAGAGCCACGAAATGCTTGTTATTGAGCCGTTTCGGTTGCCGAAACGCTTTGGTTTAATTACTAGTTATCGATATATGTTTACCAATAAAGAGCTTACTCTCTTCTCACTTACTTACTTCTCAGCACTTGCCAAGTGTTTGTCTCGAAGCTGGCAGTGCAAAAACTAATGAGACATGTCCTATAAATCAGATCCTTACAGCATTGACGATTTGTAAGAAATAATTTGATAAGACAAAACAAATTAAGATATTTTTGATTTAATTTTTTTAACTGAATCAAATGGAACGTGGTGTTTGAGCCCAAAGAAAGTAACTTTCTCTTTTCTTCAATAGAAAATAGACACAATAGAAAAAAATATATCAAAATCTATTTACCGATGTTGTACAATAATGGCTCGTACTCACGGCAATCCTGAATATCAGACTGGATCCCGCAAAACTGAACTGTCAAGTGAACACATAATAATTTATGTGTTTGAAATTCGAATCACAAATTCGAACGGATAGATTTTTTGCGGGACGCTGCAAGGGATGTTCATCGAACGTAACCGTGACCCTGCTAAAAACAGTTCCTGCTAAAAACGGGATGTCTCCGTGGAAACAAGCCCTAAGACTTAGGCCGGGTTATACCATCCTACTTTAACTTTGACAAACGTTAAAAATCTGTCCATAAACTCCATACAATAAACGCCGGTTATCGTTATAGTTACCGTTAAAGTTAGGTGGTGCAAATCAGACTAAGTTCTAATAATATACTTAACGCAAACGTAAAAAGCGTCGATATCTCACCCAGTCACTGACGGGGTAGAGAATATTTTGAGCACGGCTGACGCGTAATATTTGACTTGAAATATAACTTACTGTCGACAATCTTATTACTTATAAGAATCACATCTTGGGCATTATCTTAATAGGATTTAACGTATGCCTTGAGATCTGCTTGTGATCTTGAACGTGACGTACCCATGTGATTTTAGGTTTATGCGTTAAGTAATAACTTTTTTTTTAATTTAATAAGTTTCGTTATTAGCATTAGTGTTAGCATTTAGAGATGACTATCAAACTAACTAAAAGAGCAGTTGTGGGTTCTATTCTCGCTTTAGGCAGTTAGATTTTTTCTATTCTAATTTCTATCTAAGTATCTATTTCTTTTTGTTATCAAAATGCGACAGTTGTATAGAGTCTTAATGTTCTATAGTGACTCTGGAGTGCTTTTATTTTTGTTTGGTATTTTAAAAAGGAAAGTGTTTTAACTGTCTCGGGAGTGCTTTCAGTCGTGTTCAATATATGCTCACTAATATTATAAACAGAAAAGATTTTGATTATTTGCTTGTTTGTATTGAATGAAACTACTGGACCGATTTGAAAAAATATTTCACTATATTTCTGACTGGCGGCCACCCGCGACTTCGTACGCGTGGATCCCGTTCTACCCCCTTAGGGGTGGAGTTTCGTAAAATCCTTTCTTAGCGGATGCCTAGGTCATAACATCTACCTGCATGCCAAATTTCAGTTCGATCCGTTCAGTGGTTTGGGCTGTGCGTTGATAGATCACAATGTCAATCAGCCAGTCACCTTTGAGTTATACATATATTATTTCTGAAGTACATAGGCGATACGAAGCTCGCCAAGTCAGCTAGTAATAAAAAATAACTAACTAGACTCTCGCTAGCATCACCTTATTTTGATTCTATACAAATATTTTAGCATAGGATCCCTCATAACACCCTCTTCGGCGAGAGCTATCAATAACCTACGACTCCGAATGTGTGGTGATACAAATACCCTCGGAAATATGCATTCTTCTCACGTCCTTGCCTCCGCGTAGATAGTCCCTAGAAAATATAGTAAGACGATTTGGTAGACCGCGAAAAGGGGAAAAGCAAAGATTGATGGTGAGGTGGTTTTGCATAAGCTTTTGTATTTACTTATCTTGAGTAAAGATGTTGAAAAGTGTACCATTGGAAAACTTGTCAAAAGTGGAGTGAATGGATAGGTAGAGACCACAACTTGGCAAATATTTATTTATTTTCTTTATTAGGAAAAAATACAGCTTATATTAACTTATATAATACAAGTAGCATAAAAATAATAAGTTTTACACAAGCCTATGAGTTTTCACTGATAGTTTTAAATTGAAAAGACAGATTCACAATACTTACAGCTAACTTAAACAATATTATTATAGTGTAGGTAAACTCCTCCTGTTCGATCGGCCAATTGACATCAAGAAAATACGAGTAGCAGGCAGTAGAAAAATGAAAAAGCGGAAGTAGATAGTCTCGTTTGGAGTCCAGCTGTGATAATATTCACAATATAAAAGCGGAAAATCTTGCAGTGGACATGGTAAAGTATGACACTCTCATAATCTCACAATTATTTACCCCCCTTGACAAAAGCAAACTTGAAATCGGAATCGGAACAAGCATCTCGTTCCACACCGGATGTGATTATACACGCGGATACACCGAAAACGGGCATCCGACTTTTAGCAGATGTTTTAATCGGCTACCTAAGTAAACTCTGACAAACGTTACTTCGACATTACGTCACTCCCTCACTACTGAATATCGACATGACTTTAATTCGACACTACACTATTCAGACAAAGGCAAATATCCGGCGTAACGTAATGTCGAAGTAACGTTTGTCGGAGTTTACTTAGGTAGCCGTTTTAATTTTCACCATTCCTTAACTACACTTAAGCTGAGTTGCACCACCTAACTTTGACCGTAACTATAACGATAACCTTTATAAAGTTTGACAGATTTTTGACGTTTGTCAAAGTTAAAATAAGAAACGTCAAGTTATCGTCAAGTTATCCTTAGTTTGTAAGGCTGAGTTGCACCACCTAACTTTAACGGTAACTATGACGATAACCGGTGCCTTTTGTATAGAGTTTGACAGATGTTGTAAGTTTGTCAAAGTTAAA